TGGAATAGTTGGTGTTGGAGAACGCGATCCGGCGTTGGCCCGTCCGCGGCGTTGGCCCGTCCGGCACCTCTATCAGCTTGATGGCAGTTTCTATCTATTTCTGTCGTACACCGGGGCGTAATTTTATTGTCGTTGCGGTTGAAAAAACGCCTGATCCATGACATTTAAGGTACCCATTTCAAGACTCAGGATGCACAATATTTTTACTATGGTTTGGGTAGGAGCAGTTATGTGATGAAAAAATGAGATTTTGTTGTGCTGATGCAGACGGTGTTGAATCAGCCAACCAGTTGCACGCCCGGACCAACAACAGCATGGTCTCTATCCATTGGCAAGAGTGGCGCCTTGATACCCTTCAGGTCTTCATAAAATCCATCGTCAAATCCTCATAAATACGAGTCATCCATGGATAAAATCCGCGAATAAGTCCAACATAGCCCATCTGAGCTGGCAAAGTTATACTAGCCCCATATCCTGACAGGACTTGTTCTACAATTGCCTCTGCGACTTCTTTCGGGTCTAAAACCGATGCCTGAAATGTTTTATTTGTACGAACAAATTCCGTTAACGGTGTGCGGACGATATGAGGATAAACAATTCTAGAGGAAAATGTTAACCGTAGCTTTAGAGTATGTACTCCTAATTAAGAAGGGCCACCTACGTTGTCCGAACTTTTCTTGCATTATGCCGCATTCTCAATTCTTGACTCAACCCTTCGTGAAAGGCAATAAGTGCGGTTTTACAACAAGAGTATGAAACAAGCTGTGGTCTAGCTAAGAAGCTTGCTGTACTAGCAACTGTAACAATATGACCGTGATTATGTTTAATCATATCTGGAAGGAATTCGCGCACAAGTGAAAAATGGGCTAATATGTCGACATTGAAGACACGGCGACGTTCATCTTCACTTTCTTCTAAAATGGTCTTTCCGTTAGCAACCCCAGCGTTATTGATTAGAACTGAAGGATTTCCATGATCTTGTCGGATCCTTTCTGAACTTTCGATGATAGCTTTGTTAGAGGTAATGTCTGTGGTATAGTAAAACACATTCTCATAATCTATCATTAAGCTGTTAGCGTCTAGGTGTACAAGGCTTTTATTAGATACTGACCAAAAAGTTCTTCTTGGGGCGATACCACGTCTAGAATAATAGTTTTTATTTGCGATTTCGCAAACAGGCGAACAATTTCTGCTCCAATGCCCCTTGATCCCCCAGTAACAACCACAATTTCCCTTGACCAATCCCATGATTGGTCGTTAACGAAGTTGTTGACAGTTAATCTTGACAACACCCGATTTAGCCGAGAAAAGCCTATGAGAATAACAAGGCAAATACTACAGATAAAAAAGGTCCAAGTATTAACAAAGGAGACAGGGAAGAGTGTGAGCGTGAGGGAAAGGAATGCAAAAACGAGGGAGACTAGGAGAAAGGCTACTAATTGATAGCCCATGCTGCTTATGAATGGCATCTTGGTTAGATAACAAGTAAGACGAAAGATATACTAAAGCCTTGTCGAGAAGGCACTATAGATTCTTTAAAAATATGTTGTTATAACCAAGAATATCTGCTTTTATTATTAATCTAAAGACGACAAGTGATTACACGCCAAGAGAAGCTGTCTAAATCAGCTCCTAAGAGCTGATTGTCACACATATGATTAGGTCAAAACATGATAATACAGCTATAAGCAATAAGTTTCACCTCGGTTAGCTCAACCACCCCACTAACACTAATCCCATCTACTTTTTTAAATGCCCACCACTAATGCTACACTACGCCAATTCGGCCGTAAGCTATCTTAAAATATGCGCTATAGCTAAAATATAATAATAGATAAAGGTAATATTAATATTAGAATACTGTATAAAGGCGTAAGCTATAAATATATAGTAGCGCGCTTTAACTATAATCTATCTACTATCTATTAGCTATATAATAAGCTCTACTAGACTAGATTAGTATAGAATATACCTCGCTCTAGCCGCCTATAGATACTTTTATATTACTACAGAGGGGTGACAT